ACGAACCTGTTGTTCCAGCATTTGTGGATTTTCTAGATGAGGATTCTGTGCCGTCGGCGGTTGCTGTCCTTGACGTTCAGTGTCCACAAGGCGCAGAGCAAGATCTACCTTCTCTTGATGAGGTTCGCGAGGCTCAAAAGATTGAGCCGTGGATTCGAAGGCTTCGAGATGGGTTTGAGAATCCTGCATCACTTACTGATGACTTGCCTTTCCGGCATTTACATTCTCAATATCGCCTTGAAGATAGCCTTTTTTATTTTGTGGGGACGGATCCTGATGATCATTTACGGCTGGTGGTGCCTTTGGTGTTTATTCCGCGGTTTCTCCATGCCTACCATGATTCTCCTGTTCTAGGTGGGCATATGGGACACCGTCGTGTCACCGAGAAGCTGCGCAGATCTTTCTATTGGCCAGAGATGCAATGTGATATTATCCAGTATGTGCGTAGCTGCGTTTGGTGCCAAGCTCGTAATTGTAAGGAACCAACTCGCCGAGGTGTCGTAGGCTAAAGGAACCCCGAAAGCATGACCAAAATGACAAAGAGTTCATCGGATGGGACCAAGTCAAAGATCGAGTCCAAGACCGACTCTAGGACCGAGTTCGAGATAGGGTCCGGAATCGAGTCCAAGACCGACTCGGGGACCGAGTTCGAGTCCGAGTTCGAGACCGAGTTCGAGACGGAGTCCGAGATCCGAAATCGGGTCCGAGACCGAGTCCGAAGTCGAGTCCGAGGTCGGGCCCGAGATCGGGTCCGAGATCGAGTTCGCGATCGAGTCCGAGACCGAATCCGAAGTCGGATCCGAAATCGGATCCGAGATCGAGCCAGAGTCTAAGTCCAAATACTAATACGGGTCAAGGGGTGAAAGCCCAAAGCGTGCGTCCCCCAGGGGGGGGGGGGGCTGCAGGGGGTTCCAAAAGTACAGTAGGGATAGTGAGGTCCAGGAACCAGTTTTGAAGGGACTCTCCAGTTGGGCTTCCAAACCGACTTGAGGTTGGGACTGGGACTAAGGGGCCTTGGGTGGGAGTGAGCATGGACTTGGCTGGTGCCGGAGGGGCCATCCAAGGAAGTGCTCAAGAGCAGCTCCCACTCCCGAAAGGGAAACCGATTGCGGTGCTCCCGGCTCATGTGGAGTGGTGCCCCACTTGAGTACCATGCGGCTCATTGGTCCTCGCCCTGCCTAGGGGCTTGGGCCTTCCTTCGGGATGGAAGTGGGGGGTGAGAGGTACCCATACCGGGCCGCTAGGCCACGGTGTTTCGCCCCGGCGTCCCGAAGCAAGTGTTGCACTCAAGACTTGGGATTTAGAGGGTCCTATGATCAAGTCTTGTGGTACCAAAGGATGTTAGGAACCTGGAAGCTTGGTGTGCTTGGCTGCTTGTGCTTGCGGGGAGTGTAGCCGAACCTTAAGTCCAGTCTAACCCGGGGAGGGGGATTGGGAGTGATTTGGGAATCCGTGGATGGTGGCTAACACTCCGTTGCTCGTGCAGTGAGTAGCTGAGACCAAATAGGAGCTGGTACCATAGGCGAGAACCTTGGCAAGGGAACTTAGCAAAAGCCAAGGCGGTGTTGGACGGATAGGCGAGGTAAGCTGGCAAATTGGAAAGGAAAAATTTGTGGCTTACAGTAATACTCCCCCTTGTGCTGCGGAAGGACGGTTGGAGTCAATTGCAGTTTCTCGTCCGTTTGAGTTGGTGGCGTTTGATCTTATGGGACCTTTTCCACGATTGACTGTTGGTAATGAGTATGTTATTATTGCTTCTGACTACTTGACTCGTTAGGTGGAAGTTGGTGCTCTTGCTAGTGCCTCTGCAACTGCTGTTGGATACTTCCTCCTCAATCGAGTGGTGTTCCAGCATTCTTGTCCAGAGCGGATTCTTTCGGATAATGGTCCTGCATTTATGGCTGAGGTATTTCATATTTTGACATCTCGGTTGGGGATACGCCACACTTTTACGAGTGCTTATTATCCACAATCAGACGGTCTGGTGGAACGGCTCGTTCGGACATTCAAAGGGATGATTGCGAAGTATGTGAACTTTCAGCTTTCGGATTGGGATGGTTATTTGCCGTCTCTTCGGTATGCTTATGTCACAGGGGTGCAGAGTTCTGTTGGTGCTTCACCATATAAACTTCTATATGGTCATGATCCAATATTACCAACGGAGCTGGGTTTACCTTCGCAATTGCCACGAGCTCCTGATGCTAGGTCATGGGATCAATATTTGACAAGCATTCTTCCACTTGTCCGAGCAGAGTCTACTGAACACTTAGGCCACGTACAAGTGGGACAACAACGGCGCTACAATTCCCATCATCGTCCACCTGCGGAGTACAAAGTGGATGATTTGGTGTTAGTCCGTTTTCCCCATCTTACGGTACATGGTTTATCTAAGGGGCTCCTTGTGCAGTGGAAAGGACCGTATCGGGTGTTGCGGCAAGTTGGACCACAAGTTTATGAGGTTCGGCATGACGTTCAGCAAGCCGATCCTCCGGAGATTGTGCATGTGCAGCGGTTAAAACGCTTCATACAAAGGGATCAGGAGCAGTTAATACCGTCTACAGATTCACCGATGTCTCCTCTTGACGTTCCTTCAGATCCTGGCCCATCTACAAGAGAACCTTAACGGCCTTCCATTATTCCGAGAGGAGGGGATGATGTGAGGGCCAAGTGTATAGCTACGATGCCGTATACTAATATTAGCATAGTGGGATTTTGGTAGCTGTCGGATTGGTTTTAATCCGGACCACTCGCTCCTGTATATAAGCTAGGGTTTTTAGGCTAATTGATATGCACATTTCTGTATTCCCTTTCCATATTCCATGCACTCACACAAATAATTATATTCATTAAGTATATTCATATTTCCAAATAATAATTTTTATTTAATATTTTTATTAATGAATACTTATTCTTACTTATGCCTAGGAATATATTTTGTTCTAAATATTTATATTATCAAGTTTACATTTTGTATTCATCTAGCATTTTTTCAGCATAATTCCCTCAATTCTTGATACTATTTCAATTTAATTTTTAATATATTAAAAAATCAAAACAGTTGGCCAGGATACTAAGTGAAACAGTGAGTAGATGATGATGGTGTGGGCCCGCGCGCACCAAATGCTCCGGAACACGGGAACTGAATCATATTACGCTCATCCCTACGAGAATAAAAAATTTCATAGCGCTGCCGTCGTCTTTGTGCTCGTTGTCGTGTCTGGAGGCATGACACGTGGCCGAGGACTGGATACGAGAGGGACATATAGTAAGAAGCAGTAAGAAGAAGAAAGACATATGGTACTGATGTTGACTTTATATGTCGTTATCTATCAGGGACTCGCAGCGAAACATGACTTTGATTTCTCATGACGTGATATGTCCTTATCAGGACGATTGCACTACATGTGTGGCATTTTACTGTTTGTTTTGTCTGTTCTACATATACCTGAAGGAGAAGTACCGTCTGCGCGCGGGCCCACACCATCATCATCTAGTCACTGTTTCATTTGTCTCCCCATCCGCAGTCTAGAAGTGTCAGTTTTCAAGCCGACAAAAGGACGAGAGCTTCTTTTAATTCCACTGCATTCCTGTGCTGCTGCTAGCCGAAAGATCTAACTCATCTGCGGCCCGTTCTCCCCGGCTGAGGACGAGGAGGAGGAAGCCCGCAGATCTTATACGCCTATGTGCTTAGTGGAATATTTTATTCTCATAGTTTACATTTTTGAGGACTTTTGGTGCGCGCGGGCCCACACCATCATCTGCTGCTAGTGTTGCCGGTGTTGGGTGGAAAAGAGAGATTTCTTAGCACAATTCGGTTCCAGCTTTTTCTTGTAGATCCGCCATTCCCTGCCTTCTGGCGACCTCGTAGCAAGTTTGCGGCGCCCTCAGTCTCCACGGTCTCCAGTATATCGCCGTTTGCAATGGGTGGCTCATTGTCACAAGCTCGTGGTGAGTGGAGGAAGTGCCGTTGCATCCAAATCAGCTCGAAGCTCCCATCCGGCACAGCACTGCAGGACCAGCTGTCACTTGATCTTCCCAATGGCATGCCCAAGAGCCAGCAGCTCATGGATGTCTCGATGGCGATTGTCCCATCTCTACGGAAAACCTGCGCCAACACTGAAGTGGCTCTGGAGATCAAGAACTTCCTTCTCGGTGTGGATGACGACGAGGTAATCATCAACACCAAGGCTCTAGGATTTTACCCATACCGCTTCAAATTCCATATTAGTCCACAGCTTGGCGAGATGGAAAATTCTGCCATTGCTATATATGACTACAATTTCCATGACGGCGCTCGTGCTAATGCCAACTCCAGCACTCTCACCACTCTCACCAAGAACAGCGAAGGTGAGCTTGGAGCTCGACTTGATTTACGGGCAGTAAAGTTCATAGTAAAGAAGACGTGGGGGCAGTCACTCCAAGAGCCAATGGACTACGAGTCCATCAGTATTGGAGCTCCAGGGAACATGGCAGAGCTTGAGTGGAAATTACTTCGCTGGAATCGCAACGGGACGGAGTATAATCCATCCAATCCACACTCTGGGCTAAGTTCCCTCGAGGTATGCTTTATTCCTTTGGATTCCTTTCACTTCGTTTTCTTTGTAGCCGCCTTTCCGAGGAGGACGAACAAAAATCAACGTGGAAGACTTTCCTGTTATTGTGTGGCATCTGCCCGCGAGCACGGCGTCCAAGTTTCAGCTCGGGTTCAATATTCGTCTGGAGGCGGACATGCATCTCCTCTGGTACCGGAGAAGCAAATGGATGCGCCGAAGAGTCAAGGAGTACATTAGCAAGAAAGTCGAATTTTCCCATGAGTTTGTGGTCACCGATGGTAAAGGAGAACTGTCATATACTTTTGATATCGAATTTTGATAGAGAATGAAAACAGAAGGTCAGGGTTACTCCTTTTATCCTTTTAAGACGAGAGGTTGACTCAAAATTTGGCGCGAAATGTGTACACCCCTGGTTAGGGTTAGGGCTAGGGCATCCCAGGCAGGCGCGGTTCAGGCGCTTCCTCCGCACAGGCGTGCGCAGGTCTTGCTCCAGGACATGGCGGGTCTCACAGTGCGCCTTCTCGAGCTAGCGGGTAAGCACGCGTCTTGCTTCTCTTTCCTCTCCAGATCGAGACTTGGTCAATGCAGGCAACAAATCGTGGCAAGGTAGCCATCTCAAGAGCGTGGAGCAGGCATCGTGGAGGCGGTGGCGGCCAAGGACGAGGTCCTGGAGCTCACGCTGGAGGTATTCAGGCGGCCATCCAAGGAGAGGAAAACAATGGACGCCGAGGTGGACGAGCGCGTTTCCTACGCTCAAAGGATCAGCTACACCCGATTATCTTCTCGGTCAGCCCCCTCAGGAGCAGCAACGCAGCCCTACCACTACAGCGACATGGATCTGGGCGTCTTGAAAGCTCCGGAAACCGCACCGCCACCAGCGCCATTCCTGCCGTCGCCAACAGTGAAAAAATCACCACCAAGAGAAGCAGCAGCAGGAAAGCTCACGCCCTCTCCACTCCGGTTACACTTCCCGGACTGCCTCCCGGATGGAAGCGCGGAGATCCGGTTCCACTGCCGGAAGTGGCACCGCCAGCTCTAATTCCAACAGCACGCGCTCCAGGAGTAATCCAGGTGCCGTTCGTGCAGCTGGATCTAAACCCGGAGCTCGAGGACGACTACGCCTTGGACTCGGAGCAAAGCTCCGAGGAAGAGTGAGGAACCAAGTAAGTTGGCATTCTTTCTAAGTTCTTTGAGACTTACTTGCTAACGACGATCAAAATCAAGAAGTCTCATGTCCTACCAGGAAGGAGAACTCGATATTGCAAGTTAAAATCGAAACTTTGGGGGGAACAAATACTCGATTCAAATCCGGGGGTAAGAACAGCCTTTTCCACTTACACCAGGTCTACTTCTTAACCTTGAGCTACAGAAGCACGGACTTCACGAACGCGAAGAAAAAGCTCTCGGTTCTGCCAGAAGAGAAGATCTACCGGAAGGGGAACTGCTGCCTCAGCGGTCTCAGTCGTTCTAAAACATCCGACATGATTCAAGCACATCGTCGCGATCCTGCCGAGCTCCCGCGGCACCTTGACGTGATCCGGCAGTAGCCGGGGATCCACGACGGGGAGGACATGGTTCGTCCTCCCAGCGCGACCAACCAGGTACGTTCCCAACTACCTGAACTTTGCTGTTACTGATGATCTCCTCTAGCAGAAGACGTCCATGGCGGAGATGGTGGCGGCGCGATCGTCCAGGGGGAGACCCTCCTCGTGCTGCAAATACCGGGCGTCCTCCACCGTGGCGACCCGGTGGCGCTGCGCATCCACCTCGCCTTCACTGCCGCCAAGTGCGTCAAGACGCTCCACTACGGCCACGAGATCGTCCCCCGCTCCACAAACTTTTGTGTCGAGCGCGACTGGATCGTCACCACTTCCCCGGTCGAACGGGTCTCTGGCAGTACATCGTCTCTTTTTTTATCACGACTGGTGGATGTCTTCAGCTTGGATTTGCCACACAGGTACATACACCGTTTTTCACCTCTCCTGAAACTCAATTCTTACCGTTTCTTGTTTTTTTGCTGTGGTTGCAAGTTTCAAAGCTTCCACCCGAGATCGTCCAGTTCCACAGAGCCACCGGATTTAGATTTTGTAGTGCCTTATGTGGAGTCAGCGCTTCCGCTCGCATATGGAGCTGTTTCATGTAAGTTCCTGGGACTCCGTGTTATCTTTCTAATGTTTTTGTTCCAGGAAATTGGACATAGATCACTTTAGGTGTGTAAGTGACTCTATCACGCAAGTTAACTGAAAAATCCAGTGCTTGGAGAAGTAACCTTTTCTTTTCATGCACCCAAACTTTGACGTTTCCATGGCAGGCCCATTGGCTGGAGGTGTCTCTCGGTTGCAATGGTGGGAGTCGGCCTTTTGCTCTCGGCAAAAGGAGCACCTGAAGGGACACTTGTCCAAGTTCCCAGTGTTGTCTTCCAAGGCTCTTTTCTCTTGGGACTCGTCAACAGGGCCGCTCTAGGATACGAGTAAGCTCTTGGTCTTTGTAATCTGTGCGTTTGAAGTTCTGTGTGGAAATTTGCAATGCTTGCACGTGGGAACTGTTGCAGTGCATCCGCTGGTAATAGCTGGCTGGTAAGAGGATGTCACCATTGTCTTTGAAAAGCTCTTAGAAGTTCCGTGTGCTTGTTTCCTCCCAGGTGTGGACTAACGACGACTCCATTTAACTTGCTTCCAGTGGGATGTATCGACGGAGGAAGAGCTCTCCAGGTTCGTAATTCACTCAAAATCCAACTCTTGATCATGACTCTGAGTGAGTGCATACAGGCCGCATTCGGGAGCAAGGTGTTGAATATCGCTGGCTTGATCACTTACGTGCTACTAGGACTGGGAGTGGTAATCTTAGAAACGTTTAAGCCTTTCTTCTCACTCAACGTTCACGCAGTTGGGAGGTCCACTGTCTTTGCCGTGGGGTTTGTACATTATCATCGTCCAGGTACGTCGGTTCTTTCCTTTCTTAGAGAGTTCTTACTGTCTGTTTTCCGATACAGAGATCGTCTGGGAAGGCCTGCCTCAAGGACGTTACTGGTGTTGGCACTTGGAGGCAAATCGTCTATGCTGTGACGCTAGTGTTGGTCGTTTTGACGCTCTTGCCGTTGTGGGATGGCCTGGCCACCCAGCTTGGCATTGGCATTGGAACCCCAGACTCACTCGATCTATTTATGTGAAAGCTTCCAGGAGAAACGATGGGTTTTTTTTCTTTCCATTTCGCGGCAAGAAACAATTTTGCACGCATTCGTTGACAGAGAACCTGTGTGACGAGATTGTGGTACAAGAAAATGATGTGCTTGCAACTCTGCCGATTTTGAATTCCTTTTTGGAAATCAAAACAATTTACATTCCTATTGTCACCTTGTAATGAGTGACGCGTTTCAAGTGGAACTGGCGTCTGGCCTGCCTCAAGGTAACTTCCTCCCTTTGTGGAGACATGGACACTGTGGTTGTAGACAAGGAGCTTAATCTCAACCAGAGTTGGGACTACACAGACGCGCACGACAACATTTTCTTTCCCAGCTTTGTGAGAAACTGTCGCGGTCCCTCGCCAACAATTTACGTGTGGGGACTCCCTTCAGGTGTCACCGATGCAGAGCTCATCACTCACTTTTCCCCGCATGGCGAGATAGCTGCCACTGAGGTGTTTGCATCCGAGGAAGGGAAGCCGCGAGCACGAGTTCGATTTGCTACCAAAGAACAAGCAACCGAAGCTGTCGCTTGCAAGCAGTACAGCGTCGTCAATGGCTCCACAATCCGGCTCGCCTTTGCGATCAATGGGAAACCAAAGAAAACGTCCAGCAGCAACGCAGCGGAGGCTGGAGACTAGCCGAAAGAGAAAGAGGTACTTCCAAGCTTTCATAAATTCAACGTGTGGACTAAACCATACCAATGACCATTTCTCCTTGGTTGCAGATGTCAACGTTTCTCTCTTGTCTCAAACAGAGAAGCTGCGAATTGGAACTTTCTACGATTATGCATCAGTGTGATGTCCATCATTTTTGACTTCGCGCAGATTAAAAGGTGTATGTTTCGTCGCACAGCCATCCGAGAGTTTGCCATGGAGGGACAATCATCAAAGTATCTGATGGCTTGGCTTTTGATAGTAACGATCGAGCTCCACTTCTTGGCAGCGGGGTGTCGGCTGCTAGAGCACGAGATCACGTCTCGGACAGTCGTGGAAGCTTCGGTCTATTGCGAGATTTGCCACGAAGGGCGCAGCATCAAGAACATAGCACTGCCTGGTCCGTACTATCTCCATCTCTATAAGTTCCTGTCGATGATCACCAGTTCTAGTGGAGTTTACATTCTCGGCATGGTTTGATCCAGGTGTTGTTGCGTTCCTGGAGTGCAATGGTGCTCGTGTCAGTGGCAGTAGCACCACGGACTCGTCCGGAAAATGATCGGTGGATGTTCCCAGCGGCTACAACTTGGAGAGGGATTGCCGAGTGTCCGTGCTCGTAAATCCGCGCTGTTTGCAATGGGTGGTTCATTGTCACAAGCTCGTGGGGAGTGGAGGAAGTGCCGTTGCATACAAATAAGCTCAAAGCTCCCATCCGGAACATCACTGCTCGACCAGCTGTCCCTTGATCTTCCCAACGAACCCAAGAGCCAGCAGCACGTGGATGTTTCGATGGCGATCCTCCCATTCCTACGGGAAAGCTGCGCCAACACCGAAGTGGCTCTGGAGATCAAGAACTTCTGTCTTGGTGTGGATGACAACGAGGTAATCATCAACACCAAGGCTCTTGGATTCTACCCATACCGCTTCGAACTCCATATTAATCCACAGCTTGGCGAGATGGAAAATTCTCCCATTGCTATCTATGACTACAATTTCCATGACGGTGCTCGTGCTAATGCCAACTCCAGCACTCTCACCACTCTCACCAAGAACAGCGAAGGTGAGCTTGGAGCTCGACTTGATTTACAGGCAGTAAAGTTCATAGTAAAGAAGTCGTGGGGGCAGTCACTCCAAGAGCCAATGGACTACGAGTCCATCAGTGTTGGAGCTCCAGGGAACATGGCAGAGCTTGAGTGGAAATTACTTCGCTGGAATTGCAACGGGACGGAGTATAATCCATCCAATCCACACTCTGGGCTAAGTTCCCTCGAGGTACATGTTATTCCTTTGGATTCCTTTCACTTCGTTTTCTTTGTAGGCGCCTTTCCGAGGACGACGAACAAAAATCAGCGTGGAAGACTTTCCTGTTATTGTGTGGCATCTGCCTGCGAGCACGGCGTCCAAGTTTCAGCTCAAGTTCAACATTCGTCTGGAGGCCGACATGCATCTCCTCTGGTACCAGAGAAGCAGCTGGATGTGCCCAAGAGCCAAGGAGTATATCAGCAAGAGAGTCGAATTTTCTCGTGAGTTTGCGGTTACCGATGGTAATAAAAAACGAAAGTTCTTTTTCCCTTTGTCATTTAGACTAAAAGTTTGGCGCGAAATGTGTACACCCCTGGTTAGGGTTAGGGCATCCCTGGCAGAGGGAGGCGCGGTTCAAGCGCTTCCTCCGCACAGGCGCGCGCAGGTCTTGCTTCGAGACCAGACATGGCGGGCCTCACAGTGCGCCTTCTCGAGCTAGCGGGTAAGCAAGCGTCTTGATTCTCTTTCCTCTCAAGATCGAGACTTGGTCAATGCAGAAGGCAGCCATGTCAAGAGCCTGGAGCAGGCATCACGGATGCGGTGGCGGCCAAGGACGCGGTGATCCGCGATTTTGCCAAGCGCGCACGCTGGAGGAATTCGAGGAGTACAGGCGGCCATCCAAGGAGAGGAAGACAATGGACGCCGAGGTGGACGTGTCCGAGCGCGTCTCCTACGCTCACAGGATAAGCTACACCCGATTATCTTCTCGGTCAGCCCCCTCAGGAGCAGCAACGCAGCCCTACCACTACAGCGACATGGATCTGGGCGTCTTGAAAGCTCCGGAAACCGCACCGCCACCAGCGCCATTCCTGCCGTCGCCAACTGTGAAAAAATCACCACCAAAAGAAGCAGCAGCAGGAAAGCTCACGCCCTCTCCACTCCGGTTACACTTCCCGGACTGCCTCCCGGATGGAAGCCCGGAGATCCGGTTCCACTGCCGGAAGTGGCACCGCCAGCACCAATTCCAACAGCGTGCGCTCCAGGAGTAATCAAGGTGCCGTTCGTGCAGCTGGATTTAAACCCGGAGCTCGAGGACGACTACGCCTTGGACGAGGAGCAAAGCTCCGAGGAAGAGTGAGGAACCAAGTAAGTTGGCATTCTTTCTAAGTTCTTTGAGACTTCCTTTGTACCCTCAGGCTAACCACGATCAAAATCAAGAAGTCTCATGTCCTACCAGGAAGGAGAACTCGATATTGCAAGTTAAAATCAAAACTTTGGGGGGAACAAATACTCAATTCAAATCCGGGGGTAAGAACAGCCTTTTCCACTTACACCAGGTCTTGCGTAACCGACTTCTTAACCTTGAGCTACAGAAGCACGGACTTCACGAACGCGAAGAAAAAGCTCTCGGTTCTGCCAGAAGAGAAGATCTACCGGAAGGGGAACTGCTGCATCAGCGGTCTCAGTCGTTCTAAAACATCCGACATGATTCAAGCACATCGTCGCGATCATGCCGAGCTCCCGCGGCACCTTGACGTGATCCGGCAGTAGCCTCAGCCGGGATCCACGATGGGGAGGACATGGTTCGCCCTCCCAGCGCGACCAACCAGGTACGTTCCCAACTACCTGAACTTTCCTGTTACTGATGATCTCCGCCAGCAGAAGACGTCCATGGCGGCGATGGTGGCGGCGCGATCGTCCAGGGGGAAACCCTCCTCGTGCTGCAAATACCGGGCGTCCTCCACCGTGTCGACCCGGTGGCGCCGCCGCTGTGCCTGGCGCTGCGCATCTACCTCGCCTTCGCCGCCGCCAAGTGCGTCAAGACGCTCCACTACGGCCACGAGATCGTCCCCCGCGATCCCCGCTCCACAAACTTGTGTATCGAGCGCGACTGGATCGTCCCCACTTCCCCGGTCGAACGGGTCTCTGGCAGTACGTCGTCTCTTTTTTATCACGGCTGGTGGAAGTCTTCAGCTTGGATTTGCCACACAGGTACATACACCGTTTTTCATCTCTCCTGAAACTCATTCTTACCTGGTTTCTTGTTTTTTTGCTGTGGTTGCAAGTTTCAAAGCTTCCACCCGAAATCGTCCAGTTCCACAGAGCCACCGGATTTAGATCTTGTAGTGCCTTATGTGGAGTCAGCTCTTCGGCTCGCATATGGAGTGCAACTGGTTCATGTAAGTAATCTTTCTAATGTTTTTGTTCCAGGAAATTGGACATAGATCACCTTTAGATGTGTAAGGACTCTTGGTAGTTTCGGTGCTATCACGCAAGTTACAACCACGGTGCTTGGAGAAGTTACCTTTTCTTTTCATGCACCCAAACTTTATGGCAGGCCCATTGGCTGGAGAATTTCTGTCGGTTGCAATGGTGGGAGTGGGCCTTTTGCCTTCGGCAAAAGGAGCACCTGAAGGGACACTTGTGCAAGTTCCCAGTGTTGTCTTCCAAGGCTCTTTTCTCTTGGGACTGGTCGCCAGGGCCGCTCTAGGATACGAGTAAGCTTTTGGTCTTTGTAATCTGGGCGTTTGTTTTGATGAAGCTCTGTGTGGAATTTTCCAATGCAGTGTATTGCACGCGGGAACTGTTGCAGTGCATCCGCTGGTAATAGCTGGCTGGTAAGAGGATGTCACCATTGTCTTTGAAAAGCTCTTAGAAGTTCCGTGTGCTTATTTCCTCTCAGGTGTGGACTAACGACGACGGCTTTCAACTTGCTTCCAGTGGGATGTATCGACGGAGGAAGATCCAGGTTCGTAATTCACTCAAAATCGAACTCTTGATCATGACTCCGAGTGAGTGCATACAGGCCGCATTCGGGAGTAAGGTGTTGAATATCACTGGCTTGATCACTTATGTGCTACTCGGACTGGGAGTGGTAATCTTAGAAACGTTTAAGACTTTCTTTTCACTAAACTTTCACGCAGTTGGGAGGTCCGCTGTCTTTGCCGTGGGGTTTGTACATTATCATCGTCCAGGTATGTCGGTTCTTTCGTTTCTTAGAGAGTTCTTACTATGTGTTTTCCGATACAGAGATCGTCCGAGAAGGCCTGCCTCAACGACGTTACTGGTGTTGGCACTTGGAGGCAAATCGTCTATGCTGTGGCGCTAGTGTTGGTCGTTTTGACGCTCTTGCCTTTGTGGGATGGCTTGGCCACCCAGCTTGGCATTGGCATTGGAACCCCGGACTCGCTCGATTTATTTATGTGAAAGCTTCCAGGAGAAACGATGGTCTTTCCATTTCGCAGCAAGAAACAATTTTGCACGCATTCGTCAACAGAGAACTTGTCTGACGAGATTGTGGTACAAGATAATGATGTACTTGCAAGTTTGGATCTGCTGATTTTGAACTCTTTTAATCAAGACAATTGCACATAGGTGCCATTTCTATTGTCACTTGTATATTTTTCCATTGTTATGTAGGAAAACATCCTCCTCTCCATTGTTGTAGCTGTTCAGATTTAGAATTCTTGCCTTCATCAAAATTGCACTCTACAACCTTTTTTGAACGTGCGAAGAGAAGACCTTCCTTGTATCCCATGATGTGTCTATGGGCTGCGGGGCTGTTGGACACGAAAAACTCGAATCACAAAAAGTATGTGGAGCATTAGTGGTTTTTTGTAAAGGAATGTTAGAAACGTGGAAAAGGATATCACTCCCTAGTAGAATGTGTCTTAACCATATTGCACTCGACCACCCTGATTTCTGGTAGCAACTCATCTTCATTAATCTTTAGGAAAAGAACCTTCAAAGCAAGTGATAGCCACTTGTGATGAAGACAGAAGCAGGGATAGGGACCTGTTATGAGCATTAAGCAAAGTTGCTTTGTGAACACTGTCAGTGATTGTTAACTTCCCTTTGGACCATGTTGTTATGCAAGTGGCCACAATGTGCCATGGCCATCCTAGGATAATGGAGTCTTTCAAAATTCCAGATCCTAGCTGTTAGTAATTCACCATAAGAAAATTGAGCATTGAAACCACTTTTATACTGAGATCTTGACATTGAGGAATTGGCAAATGTTTTGAGGATGATGGCTGTGTTGCCGGGTTGGAAACTCCACCCAGAGCTTTAGCCACTTTTGGTTTAGTGTGTTCAGCAGTAGCCTTTGGCAGAGAACATGTTGCTCCCACAGTCAGCAAATAGATATTAGCAACAACTGGAGTAAGAAAGTAATAAAAAATGCCCCTTCATTGAGCCATAAGAAGACACCCAATTTACATTGCTAAAAATGGCTATAAGATGGTTGTTATATGAAGAAAGTTTTCTCTCCAAACATTGCACCAATTTCCAAATCTTCTCTTTTGTGGTGTGCAAACTACCCCATATTTCAGTATTTGCCACCCACATCCTTGGCTACAACTTTGGATTTGTTGGTACATCAATCAAGATAACATTCAGTGAACTTGCATGATGCATTCATGGTTTTGGGTGGCATTTGCAAGCTATAGGCTTCCCTATGGCATCTCAACATGACATGCAGATAGTCAACACTTATACTACTCACAATCTAGGGCACTTTTTGCAGAGGTCTGGATAAAACTCTCTTTCTCAAAGGCACAAGCAATACTTGATTTAGGATCCTAGAGCAATATCATCTTTCTTGACATAGCACACTCTAGTAGCTTAGAAGTCTCTTTGGCATCATGGATATATGGCACAATAGGTGACTGAAATCACATCAACAAAGTTGAGACCAGGGCAAAAATTTAATGCTCTTTTTTGGCCATTTTACCCTACAAAATGGGTGATCTTCAAACTGCCCTTTAAATGTTAGGTAGAAATTATTAGAATTTCAAATAGAATATTCTTTTGAAATATTTCTTTTCTTTCCTAAAGGATTAATGAATATTCCAAATTTAATGAGTGGGGCACTTTTCTAGATTACTGCCTTGTTTAGGCTACACGTTTTCAAAACTTGTTTAGCTCACACTTTCTTAGCTCTTGCTGCACGTGTTTATCACCATTACCCTGGATCCTAAAGACTTTGATTTTTCATGACTCCTTATCAGGACACCGCATGTTTGATTTTTCATGATGTGATATGTCAACGATTGCACTACATGCGTCAGCAGCAAGAGTAGCCGTTGGTTGTGGGGCCTCGAGAGGAAGGGTCTGATATCAAGCATTTTACCGTTTGTTTTGTAATACGTGGTTTCCTTCCTGGAGAATGTAAAATCGTCAAAGCCTAAGACTTCTTTGGTGTGCGCGGGCCCACACCATCATCATCTAGTCACACGAAACCCAGCTTGGCCGATGACATCAGTTGGCAGAGTGATCAACGAGTCCTGCCTCCGGACTCGCTACAGTTTGGACAGCGAGCACGAAGATGACGGTTAGACACAATGTGCAAGCCAGCGCTTTTCCTGATTCTTGAACTGGGGAATCCATGCTAGTGAAAGAGGAGGAAAGAACACTACGAGAATAAAATATTCCACTCGGGAAAGTCGCACAGCACTCGGTACAACCCATCTGCGGGTGTCTTACTCCTCGTCCTCGGCCCTTCTTCGCTTGTCCTCGTCCTCCGCCGCGCCCGGCCTTCTCGACCTCGTAGCGAGTTTGCGGCGACAGCAGTAGGCCATCGGCGCGCTACCTTTCTTTCTCACTTTCCACTGTCTCCAGTACATCGCCGCTTGCAATGGGTGGTTCATTGTCACAAGCTCGTGGGGAGTGGAGGAACTGCCGTTGCATCAAAATCAGCTCAAAGCTCCCATCCGGCACATCACTGCTCGACCAGCTGTCCCTTGATCTTCCCAACGGACTGCCCAAGAGCCAGCAGCTCGTGGATGTTTCGATGGCGATCCTCCCATCCCTACGGGAAAGCTGCGCCAACACCGAAGTGGCTCTGGAGATCAAGAACTTCCTTCTCGGTGTGGACGACAGTGATGTAATCATCAACACCAAGGCTCTAGGATTCTACCCATACCGCTTCAAACTCCATATTAATCCACAGCTTGGCGTGATGAAAAACTCTACCATTGCTACCTATGACTACAACCTCCGTGACGGTAGCCGTGTTAATGCCAATTCCAGCACCAAGAACAGCGAAGGTGAGATTGGAGCTCAACTTAATTTATGGCCAGTATCGTTAAAATTAAAGAAGAAGTGGGGGCAGTCACTCCAAGAGCTAATGGAGTACGAGTCCATTCGTGTTGGAGCTCCAGGGAACACCGCAGAGCTCGAGTGGAAATTACTTCGCTGGAATCACAACGGGACGGAGTATAATCCATCCAAACCACACTCTGGGCTAAGTTCCCTCGAGGTACATGCTTTACGCCTTTGGATTCCTTTCAGTTCGTTTTCTTTCTAGCCGCCATTGCGAGGAGGACGAACAAAAATCAGCGTGGAAGACTTTCCTGTTATTGTGTGGCATCTGCCCGCGAGCACGGCGTCCAAGTTTCAGCTCGGGTTCAATATTCGTCTGGAGGCCGACATGCATCTCCTCTGGTACCGGAGAAGCAAATGGATGCGCCGAAGAGTCAAGGAGTACATCAGCAAGAGAGTTGAATTTTCCCATGAGTTTGTGGTCACCGATGGTAAAGGAGAACTGTCATATGCTTTTGATATCGAATTTTGATAGAGAATGAAAAAAAAGAGTTATTTTTCTCTCTGTCATTTAGACTCAAAACTTGGCGCGAAATGTGTACACCCCTAGTTAGGGTTAGGGCATCCCAGCGCGCAGCGCCTTCTCGAGCTAGCCGATAAGCAAGCGTCTTGATTCTCTTTCCTCTCAAGATCGAGACTTGGTCAATGCAGGCAGCAAATCGTGGAAGGCAGCCATCTCAAGAGCGTGGAGCAGGCATCGCGGAGGCGGTGGCGGCCAAGGAAGAGTTTGCCAAGCGCGTCAGGAACGCGGAGCAGGCGGTCCAATGAGAGGAAGACACTGGACGCCGAGGTGGCGTCTCCTACGCTCATAGGATCAGCTACACCCGATTATCTTCTCGGTCAGCCCCCTCAGGAGCAGCAACGCAGCTCTACCACTACAGCGACATGGATCTGGGCGTCTTGAAAGCCCCGGAAACCGCACCGCCACCAGCGCCATTCCTGCCGTCGCCAACTGTGAAAAAATCACCACCAAAAGAAGCAGCAGCAGGAAAGCTCACGCACTCCGGTTACACTTCCCGGACTGCCTCCCGGATGGAAGCCGGTTCCACTGCCGGAAGTGGCACCGCCAGCTCCAATTCCAACAGCACGCGCTCCAGGAGTAACCAAGGTGCCGTTCGTGCAGCTGGATCTAAACCCGGAGCTCGAGGACGACTACGCCTTGGACGAGGAGCAAAGCTCCGAGGAAGAGTGAGGAACCAAGTAAGTTGGCATTCTTTCTAAGTTCTTTGAGACTTACTTTGTACCCTGAGGCTAACCACGATCAAAATCAAGAAGTCTCATGTCCTACCAGGAAGGAGAACTCGATATTGCAAGTTAAAATCGAAACTTTGGGGGGAACAAATACTCGATTCAAATCCGGGGGTAAGAACAGCATTTTCCACTTACACCAGGTCTTGTGTAACCGACTTCTTAACCTTGAGCTACAGAAGCACGGACTTGTGGAACGCGAAGCAAGAACGCGAAGAAAAAGCTCTCGGTTCCGCCAGAAGAGAAGATCTACCGGAAGGGGAACTGCTGCCTCAGCGGTCTCAGCCGTTCTAAAACATCCGACATGATTCAAGCACATTGTCGCGATCCTGCCGAGCTCCCACGGCACCTTGACGTGATCCGGCAGTAGCCTCAGCCGGGATCCACGATGGGGAGGACATGGTTCGCCCTCCCAGCGCGACCAACCAGGTACGTTCCCAACTACCTGAACTTTCCTGTTACTGATGATCTCCGCCAGCAGAAGACGTCCACGGCGGCGATGGTGGCGGCGCGATCGTCCAGGGGGAGACCCTCCTCGTGCTGCAAATGCCGGGCGTCCTCCACCGTGGCTACCCGGTGGCGCCGCCGCTGTGCCTGGCGCTGCGCATCCACCTCGCCTTCGCCGCCGCCAAGTGCGTCAAGACGCTCCACTACGGCCACGAGATCGTCCCCCGCGATCTCCGCTCCACAAACTTGTGTATCGAGCGCGACTGGATCGTCCCCACTTCCCCGGTCGAACGGGTCTCTGGCCGTACGTCGTCTCTTTTTTATCACGGCTGGTGGTAGTCTTTAGCTTGGATTTGCCACACAGGTACATACACCGTTTTTCATCTCTCCTGAAACTCATTCTTACCTGGAATCTTGTTTTTTTGCTGTGGTTGCAAGTTTCAAAGCTTCCACCCGAAATCGTCCAGTTCCACAGAGCCACCGGATTTAGATCTTGTAGTGCCTTATGTGGAGTCAGCTCTTCCGCTCGCATATGGAGTTTTTGACGTGCAACTATTTCATGTAAGTTCCTGGGACTCCGTGCTATCTTTCTAGTGTTTTTGTTCCAGGAAATTGGACAGAGATCACCTTTAGGTGTGTAAGTGACTCTTGGTAGCTTCGGTGCTATCACGCAAGTGACAACCACAAACAAACTGAAAAGTCCAGTGCTTGGAGAAGTAACCTTTTCTTTTCATGACGTTTCCATGGCAGGCCCATTGGCTGGAGGTTTCTCTCGGTTGCAATGGTGGGAGTCGGCCTTCTGCTCTCGGCAAAAGGAGCGCCTGAAGGTACACTTGTGCAAGTTCCCAGTGTTGTCTTCCAAGGCTCTTTTCTCTTGGGACTCGTCGCCAGGGCCGCTCTAGGATACGAGTAAGCTTTTGGTCTTCGTAATCTGTGCGTTTGTTTTGATGAAGCTCTGTGTGGAATTTTCCAATGCAGTGTATTGCACGCGGGAACTGTTGCAGTGCATCCGCTGGTAATAGCTGGCTGGTAAGAGGATGTCACCATTGTCTTTGAAAAGCTCTTAGAAGTTCCGTGTGCTTGTTTCCTCCCAGGTGTGGACTAACGACGACTGCATTTAACTTGCTTCCAGTGGGATGAAGAGCTCTCCAGGTTTGTAATTCACTCAAAATCGATCTCCTGATCATGACTCTGAGTGAGTGCATACAGGCCACATTCGGGAGTAAGGTGTTGAATATTACTGGCTTGATCACTTATGCGCTACTTGGACTGGGTAGAGGCATTTAAGACTTTCTTCGCGCTAAACTTCAGTTAGGAGGTCCACTGTCTTTGCCTTAGGTATTTCGGTTCTTTCGTTTCTTAGAGAGTTCTTACTGTGTACAGAGATCGTCCGAGAAGGCCTGCCTCAACGTGTTGGCACTTGGAGGCAAATCGCCTATGCTGTGGCGCTAGTGTTGGTCGTTTTGACGCTCTTGCTGTGGGATGGCTTGGCCACCCAGCTTGGCATTGACATTGGAAAAGCTACGATGGTTTTTTTCTTTCCATTTCGCGGCAAGAAACAATTTTGCACGCATTCGTCGACAGAGAACCTGTGTGACGAGATTGTGTTACAAGAAGACAGTGGAAAAACTAATCAAAATGGAGCTTCTATCAGCTATGGTCTTGTGTATCTCCCTCCCAGTGGCTTAGATTGGCTTGATCTTGAAGTGGAGGCCGATGAGCGAGAAGGCAAAGCACTTGAGATCCTGGAACCCACCATCTGTCACAACGAGAAAAGAAAAAAAAAAAGGAAGAGAAACTTGCCTGGACGAGGAAGTAGAAGATGCGAAGGCCCTCTGGATCGTTACTGCTCTGGACGTCTAGCAGCGATCCAATCTTGGACGTCGCAAAGGAGATGTGCTCGTTGCCTATCACAACCTCCAGCTCCTGGCGCCCGACCTTGTCCGGCTGTGGCCAGTTGCTATCGTCCTCTTTCATGATCTGCCAAGAACAAAGGAGGATACGAGGCCAAGCTAGAAAGAATCGATGGATACCTCGCTGTCGACGATGATGCGCTTGCACTCCCGGAGCACAGCGTTGGTGACATAAACCTCCTTGCGGATCATGGTGTCGTTCTTGTAGTTGGAGTTATTGGCGTACCTCAGCTTCCCATCCGGCCGGAACTCAAACTCGAGGAACTCGTGCCCAAACTTGCCCTTGTGACCCACGTAGTAGCGCAAGTAGAACTCGCCCACATCGTCCGCCATGCCGCACTCCTCCTCTCGCCGACCTACGACGAAACCCTAGCCCTAATTCCTTGGATAATTCCTTGGATAAGTTGATCCTTTATACGAAAGCATCTAGCAGCTCTAGAGAAAGCTATCAAAAGCTACGAAATAAGGATGGTGTCGAAGATGGAAAGAGAGGCTACGAGCTGGAGAAGTTTCACTACGATTCGGTGCCAGCAGCTCCCTCAGCTTCACCCGCTAGTTTTGGTCGAGCCAGGAGAGCATTATCTGGATCTTGTCCGGGAGGATTCCAAAAGCCGCAACATATGGCAGATTTGCTGCACATATCGTGTAGCCGTCAGGAAAACACGAGTCAGACACGAGTGATGTATGAGCGCTGGAAGTGCCCATAGCAACGGCGGACTCCACCATTTCGATGACTTTGTTGAGGCGTTGCAAGTACAAGGCATTTTGGTTATCAAATGGAGCTCTCGTGCCGCATCATCGCTGCTCCCATGTCCGGCACCTCGGGAATAGAACCCGTGTCTTCCGGCTGAGAGCCTGACCGAAATATCCAAGAGGAAAGCTTAAGGGGTTAGGGCTTTAGGCCGATCCGGGAGCGGCTCTCTCAACGGTGCCACGTATTTGTCACCACGAAGAAAACAGTCTCACGCGTCGGCGTGAACTCCTTCGTCCTTTTGGCACTATCCCCTTCAAATAAGAACTCGAGTCACGATGGCGCTGGGGAAGCCATTTCTAAGGAAGCTAGTTCGTCTACCTTCCCGGTTTTCTTTTTTCTTGTTCTCAGTTTGTGATCGGCCATCGCGCTCTCTTTCTTTCTCACTCTCCACTGTCTCGGCGCATTGCCATTTGTAATCCATGGGTGGTTCAACATCAACAGCTCGTGGGGATTCCCCCTTGAAGAAGTGCCGCTGCATCCAAACCAGCTCAAAGCTCCCATCCGGCACACCACTGCTCGACCAGCTGTCCCTTGATCTTCCCAACGGACTGCCCAAGAGCCAGCAGCTCGTGGATGTTTCGATGGTGATCCTCCCATTCTTACAGAAGAGCTGTGGCAACACCGAAGTGGCTCTCGAGATCAAGAACTTCTGTCTCGGTGTCAATGACAACGATATAATCACCAACACTAAGGCTCAAGGATTCTACCCATACCGCTTCAAACTTCATATTAGTCCACGGCTTGGCGAGATGGAAAACTCTGCCATTGCTATCTATGACTACAATTTCCATGACGGTGCTCGTGCTAATGCCAACTCCAGCACTCTCACCACTCTCACCAAGACCAGCGAAGGTGAGATTGGAGCTCAACTGAATTTGTGGTCAGTATCGTTAAAATTAAAGAAAAAGTGGGGGCAGTCACTTCAAGAGCCAATGGACTACGAGTCCATCAGTGTTGGAGCTCCAGGGAACACCGCAGAGCTCGAGTGGAAATTACTTCGTTGGAATCACAACGGGATGAAATATAATCCATCCAAACCATACTCTGGGCTAAGTTCCCTCGAGGTACATGCTTTATTCCTTTCGATTCCTTTCAGTTCGTTTTCTTTTTATCTAGCCGCCATTGCGAGGAGGACGAACAAAAATCAGCGTGGAAGACTTTCCTGTTATTGTGTGGCATCTGCCGGCGAGCATGGCGTCCAAGTTTCAGCTTGGGTTCCACATTCGTCTGGAGGCCGAAATGCATCTCCTCTGGTACCGGAGAAGCAAATGGATGTGCCGAAGAGTCAAGGAGTACATCAGCAAGAGAGTAGAATTTTCTAGTGAGCTTGTGATCTCCGATGGTGAGTGAGAAGTCTGGACACACTTTTGATATCAAATTTTTATTTTTATAGAGAATGAAAAAAGAAAGGTGGTGGCTGCGCAGCCCTTTCTTTTTCCCTTTGTCATTTGGATTCGCATTTAGGCAAGCTCAAAATTTGGCGCGAATGTGTAAAGGGGGTTTTGGCCCCTGGTTAGGGTTAGGGCATCCCAGGGCCATGGCAGAGGGAGGCGCGGTTCAGGCGCTTCCTCCTCACAGGCGCGCGCAGGTCTTGCTCCAGGACATGGCGGGCCTCACAGTGCGCCTTCTCGAGCTAGCCGGTAAGCAAGCGTCTTGCTTCTCTTTCCTCTCCAGATCGAGACTTGGTCAATGCAGGCAGCAAATCGTGGCAAGGCAGCCATCTCAAGAGCCTCTTTCCCCCTTTCCTGGCCGGAGCTCCCGTGCCCGCCGAGGGCCTGGTCGCCAACAGCACCAAAGACGTCCTGGCGCTCCTCGACTCGCATCAATCGCTTCTGTCGGACGCGGTGTCGGAGATTGCCGAGCTCCAGAGCCTGGAGCAGGAGAAGCAGCGCATCGCGGAGGCGGTGGCGGCCAAGGACGCGGTGATCCGGGAGTTTGCCAAGCGCGTCAGGGACGCCGAGCAGGTGCTGGAGCTCACGCTGGAGGAATTCGAGGAGTACAGGCGGCCATCCAAGGAGAGGAAGACACTGGACGCCGAGGTGGACGTGGCCGAGCTCGTCTCGTACGCTCATAGGATCAGCTACACGACGTTTGCTCCTCCCGATTATCTTCTCGGTCAGCCCGGAGTGCTGGCTCCGGCTCCTCAGGAGCAGCAAATGCGAGCTTCGCAGCTCTACCACTTCAGCGACATGGATCTGGGCGTGTTGAAAGCTCCGGCAGCCGCACTGCCACCAGCGCCATCGCTGCCGTCGCCAACGGTGGAAAAATCACCACCGAAAGAAGCAGCTGCAGGAAAGCTCACGCCCTCTACTTCCACTCCGGTTACCCTTCCCGGACTGCCTCCCGGAATGAAGCTCCCACCGATGCCTCCCGGATGGAAGCCCGGAGATCCGGTTCCACTGCCGGAAGTGGCACCGCCAGCTCCAGCTCTAGCGGCACCGGCTCCAGGAGTAATCCAGGTGCCGTTCGTGCAGCTGGATCTAAACCCGGAGCTCGAGGACGACTATGCCTCGGACTACAGCAACGAGGAGCAAAGCTCCGAGGAAGAGTGAGGAACCAAGTAAGTTGGTATTCTTTCTAACTTCTTTGAGACTTACTTTGTACCCTCAGGATAAAGAAAGTCTCAAGAAATCCATGTCCTACTAGGAAGGAAACCTCGAGTTTGCAAGTTAAAATCGAAACCTTGGAGGAAACAAATGCTCGATTCAACTCCGGGGGTAAGAACAGTCTTTTCCAGTTACACCAGTTCTCCGACTTCTTACGAAGCACGGACCTCATGAACGCGAAGAAAAAGCTCTTGGTTTTGCCAGAAGAGAAGATCTACCGGAAGGGGAATTGCTGCCTCAGCGGTCTAAGCCGCTCTAAAACATCCGACATGGTTGGCCACGGGATTATCGCCGCGATCCTGCCGAGCTCCCGCGGCACCTTGCGTGATCCGGCAGTAGCCTCAGCCGGGGATCCACGATGGGGAGGACATGGTTGTTCCTCACCAGCGGGACAAGCCACCCGACGAGATCGCCGGGTACTTTCCCAACGTCCTGGACTTGATGATCTCCGCCAGGAGCAGGGCAAAGCAGAAGATGTCCACCTTGACGGCGAGGTAGCCATCCTGGGGCCAGTCCGGGTCGAGCATCCCCATCGATCCCAGCGATCCCAGCGTGCATCTGCGAAGGTTCCCGAGGAAAAGAATAGCTTCGCCGATTCAAGGACGTGATCATCAAGCGCGGTAACGACCCGCCGCTACCCCGCCCAGATCGCCATCGTTCATCGGGCCTCGACCGACCGGCGGCGATGGTGGCGGGGAGACCCTCCTCGTGCTGCAAATGCCCGGCCGCGGCACCCTCTTCGACGTCCTCCACCGCGGCGACCCGGTGGCGCCGCCGCTGTGCCTGCCGCTGCGGATCCACCTCGCCTTCGCCGCCGCCAAGTGCGTCAAGACGGGTCTCTGGCATTACGTTGTCTCTTTTTTATCACGGCTGGTGGATGTCCTCAGCTTGGATTTGGCACACAGGTATATACACCGTTGCTCGTCTCTCCTGGAACTCATTGTTAACTCGTTTCTTGTTTTTTTTTACTTCGGTTGCAAGTTTCAAAGCTTCCACCCGAGATCGTCCAGTACTTCACTGAGTCCACGGATTAGATCTTCTAGTGCCGGAGTTTTGTACGTGCAACTGTTTCATGTAAGTCTCCTTGCTGTATTTGTAATCTTTTGTTCCAGGAAATTGGACATAGATTAGCTGCAGCAGCTTTAGGTGTGTAAGTGACTCTTGGTAGCTTCGCTGCTATCACGCAAGTTACCACCACAAACAAACTGAAAACTCCATTGCTTGGAAAAGCGGACCGGAAAGCAAAATTTGACGTTTCCATGGCAGGCCCATTGGCTGGAGGATTTCTCTCGGTTGCAATGGTGGGAGTCGGCCTTTTGCCCTCGGCAAAAAGAGCCTCTCAAGGGACACTTGCGCAAGTTCCCAGTGTTGTCTTCCAAGGCCTTTTTCTGTTCGGACTCGTAGAGAGTTCGAACTGTGCGTTCTCCATTTCTCCTTGTTGGTCGATCGTCCGAGAAGGCCTGCCTCAACGACGTTACTGATGTTGGCACTTGGAGGCAAATTGTCTATGCTGTGGCGCTAGTGTTGGTCGTTTTGACCCTCTTGCCATTGTGGGATGGCTTGGTTAGCCGGCATTGGCATTGTAACCCCGACTCGCTCGATCTATTTATGTGAAAGCTTCCAGGAGAAACGATGGTTTTTTTTTTTTTTTCCTTTTTATCTCGCGGCAAGAAACAATTTTGCACGCATTCGTCGACAGAGAACCTGGTGTTACAACTTACAAGAAGACGGTGGAAAAACGAATCAAAGTGGAGCTTCTATCAGCTATGGTCTTGTGTATCTCCCTCCCACTGGCTTAGATTGGCTTGATCTTGAAGTGGAGGCCGATGAGCGGGAAGGCAAAGCACTTCAGTTCCTGGAACTCACCATCTGTCACAACGAGGAAAGAAAAAACAACAACTTGCCTGGACGAGGAAGTAGAAGATGCGAAGATCTCTCTGGATCGTTACTGCTCTGGACGTCTAGCAACGATCCAAGCTTGATCCGTGATGATACGTTGTGGTACTTCATGGCTCTGCCAAGATAATCGCCCAAAATCTTTGCTTTCGGAGTTTTCTAATCGTCACACATAGTGTTCAATTCGCCAACACCGGTGTTCGCCAATGCGTGACGGTGGAAAAGCTTAAGACGTGTTTTTGGGCCCTCTTTTCCTTGCCAAATAATTCGCCACCACTATGGAGCAAACCCGTCTTGAGTTTTCTAATCGTCAAAAGTATGGCTATCCATAGTGTTGGCGAATTATTTCACGACGCTTCACGCATCTACAATACCTCCATGCGTCCGAGGACGCTCGCGCCGCAGCGGTACTGTCAGTGGACATGCGGAGCTATGCTGCTCACTCGGACGCACTCGTGGACCAGCTGAGCGCCAAGCTTCAGTTCTCGAGGCCATGTCCATCCCGAACAAGAGTGTTCCGCCGGCCACTTCTTTTTACGGCCGTCCTCCTGGTCTGGGATTCGGCGTGCCATTTCCCAACTCTCCATTGGAAGCAAAGATTTTGGGCGATTATCTTAAAGTACCACAACTAGGATAAAGCTAGTAAAAAAACCTTATTTATATCATCGACAGCGAGGAATCTTTCTAGCTTGGCTTGATTTGCTTACTCGTATCCTCCTTTGTTCTTGGCAGATCTCATTTGCGAATTATTTGGCAAGGAAAAGAGGTGGAAAAAGCTCAAGACGTGTTTTTGGGCCAGACCACCACTCATTGCCGACGTGTTTGAGCACTTGTTAAATGGCTGGGCTTGAGATTCTTGATGCCCGGAGCACAGCATTGGTCACATAGACCTCCTTGCGGATCATGGTGTCGTTCTTTTTTTTTTTCGCCTTTGGTGGGCGAATCCAGGTCATGCAGTGATAATGGAATACCACAGACATGAAATTCCATAATTAAATAAATAAATAACTTCGATTCTGTTTCCAGTTTTCACAGTTGAAGCTCTGTGTCAAGCGATCATGAAATTACATCGAAAGAGTCGAAAGTGTCACAACGAGTCAGTGGCTTATATGATCGATGTGACTTGCTCTCAGGGTTCTGGGAAGGGCAGTAGTTTCTATTAATCGATCAGTTCCTACTATTCTATCTTCTTGTTTATTTTTCTTCCTGGAATCTCAAACTTCGATCGATCGATCAAGCCCATAAGATCTGCGGCGTCCTCAGCCCCTCTTGCTGCTTTCGCGTGTACCCTGCCTTCTGCCCCTGTCTGCGGCGCATGGGTGGTTCAATATCAACAGGTCGTGGGGAGTCCCCCTGGAGGAAGTGCTGCTGCATCCAAATCAGCTCAGAGCTCCCATCCGGCACAGCATTGCTCGACCAGCTGTCCCTTGATCTTCCCAACGGACTACCCAAGAGCCAGCAGCTCGTGGATGTTTCGATGGTGATCCTCCCATCCTTACGGGAGAGCTGTTGCAACACTGAAGTGGCTCTGGATATCAAGAACTTCTCTCTCGGCGTGGATGACAACGATGTAATCATCAACACCAAGGCTCTAGGATTCTACCCATACCGCTTCAAACTTCATATTAGTCCACAGCTTGGCGAGATGGAAAACTCTGCCATTGCTATCTATGATTACAATTTCCATGACGGTGCTCGTGCTAATGCCAACTCCAGCACTCTCACCACTCTCACCAAGAACAACGAAAGTGAGATTGGAGCTCAGCTTAACTTATCCCCAGTATCGTTCAAATTAAAGAAGAAGTGGGGACAGTCACTCCAAGAGCCAATGGAGTACGAGTCCATCAGTGTTGGAGCTCCAGGGAACACCGCAAAGCTCGAGTGGAAATTACTTCGCTGGGATCACAACGGGAAGAAGTATAAGCCATCCAAACCATACTCTGGGCTAAGTTCCCTCGAGGTACATGCTTTACGCCTTTGGATTCCTTTCAGATTCGTTTTCTTTGTAGCCGCCATTGCGAGGAGGACGAACAAAAATCAGCGTGGAAGACTTTCCTGTTATTGTGTGGCATCTGCCTGTGAGCACGGCCTCCAAGTTTCAACTCGGGTTCAACATTCGTCTGGAGGCCGACATGCATCTCCTCTGGTACCCAAAAAGCAACTGGCTGCGCAGAGAAGCCAAATGCATCAGCAAGAGAGTCGAATTTTCTCGTGAGTTTGTGGTCACCAGGCGTGAGTGAGTGAGCTGTCATACCTTTCTTTTTCCTTTGTCTTGGATTCGGGATTTGGTTCCGAGAAACATGTATATACGGGACAAACTCGACTCGACTTTACACCAGCACAGCTTCGTCTACCACAGGGCATCCTCAGAGGGACATGGCGGGTCTCACGGTGCGCCTTCAAGCTAGCCGGCAAGCAAGCGTCCTGCTTCTCTTTCTTCTCCAGATCGAGACTTGGTCAATGCAAATCGTGGCAAGGCAGCCATCTCAAGAGCCTTCTTCCCCCCTTTCCTGGCCGGAGCTCCCGTGCCCGCCGAGGGCTTGGTCGGACGTCCTGGCGCTCCTCGACTCGCATCAATCGCTTCTGTCGGACGCGGTGTCGGAGATTGCCGAGCTCCAGAGCCTGGAGCAGGAGAAGCAGCGCATCGTGGTGGCGGTGGCGGCCAAGGACGCGGCGATCCGAGTTGATTTTTCTCGTGAGTTTGTGGTGACCGATGGTGAGTGAGAAGGCTGGACACTGTCATATACTTTTGATATCGAATATTTATATTGAATAAGAAAGAAGGTCCTTTGCCTTTGGATTCAGGCGCTTCCTTGCTCCAGGACATGGCGGGCCTCACAGTGCGCCTTCTCGGGCTAGCGGGTAAGTAAGCGTCTTGCTTCTCTTTCCTCTCCAGATCGAGACATGGTCAATGCAGGCGGCAAGGCAGCCATCTCAAGAGCCTCTTCCCCAGAAGCAGCGGGGGTGGTGGCCAAGGACGCGCTGATCCGGGAGTTTGCCAAGCGCGTCAGGGACGCCGAGCAGGTGCTGGAGCTCACGCTGGAGGAATTCGAGGAGTACAGGCAGCCATCCAAGGAGGAAGACAATGGACGCCGAGGTGGACGTGTCAGAGCTCGTCTCCTACGCTCATAGGATCAGCTACACGACGTTTGCTCCTCCCGATTCTCTTCTCGGTCAGCCCGGAGTGCTGGCTCTGGCTCCGGCTCCTCAGGAGCAGCATGCAAGCTTCGCAGCTCTACCACTTCAGCGACATGGATCTGGGCGTGTTGAAAGCTCCGGCAGCCGCACTGCCACCAGCGCCATCGCTGCCGTCGCCAACGGTGGAAAAATCACCACCGAAAGAAGCAGCAGTAGGAAAGACTCCGTTTACTCTTCCCGGACTGCCTCCCGGAATCAAGCTCCCACCGATGCCTAAGCCCGGAGATCCGGTTCCACTGCCGGAAGTGGCACCGCCATCTCCAGCTCTAGCGGCACCGGAGTAATCCAGGTGCCGTTCGTGCAGCTGGATCTAAATCCACAGCTCGAGGACGACTACGCCTCGGACTACAACAACGAGGAGCAAAGCTCCGAGGAAGAGTGAGGAACCAAGTAAGTTGGCATTCTTTCTTCGAGACTTACTTTTTACCCTCAGGATAACCAAAATCAAGAAAGTCTCAAGAAATCCATGTAGAAAAACTCGAGTTTGCAAGTTAAAATCGAAACCTTGGAGGAAACAAATGCTCGATTCAACTCCGGGGGTAAGAACAGTCTTTTCCACTTAACCAGCTCTTGTGTAGCCGACTTCTTAACCTTGAGCTACAGAAGCACGGACCTCACGAACGCGAAGCGAGAACGCGAAGAAAAAGCTTTCGGTTTTGCCAGAAGGGAAGATCTACCGGAAGGGGAACTGCTGCGTCAGCGGTCTCAGCCGCTCTAAAACATCCGACATGGTTGGCCGGACCCGGGCCACGGGATTCAAGCACATCGCCGCGATCCTGCCAAGCTCCCGCGGCACCTTGACGTGATCCGGCAGTAGCCTCAGCCGGGGATCCACGATGGGGAGGACATGGTTCGTCCTCACCAGCGGGACAAGCCACCCGACCAGATCGCCGGGTACTTTCCCAACGTCGTGGACTTTCCTGTTACTGATGATTTCCGCCAGGAGCAGGCCAAAGCAGAAGACGTCCACCTTGGCGGCGAGGTAGCCATCCTGGGGCCAGTCCGGGTCGAGCATCCCCAGCGATCCCAGCGAGCAGCCGGGCATCTGATCCTCCCAGTGGATGACGTGGGCCACCGAGAAGTTGGCGAGGCGGACGCTCCAGTCGCGCTCGATCCAAAAGTTGGTGGAGCGGAGGTCGCGGTGGACGATCTCGTGGCCGTAGTGGAGTGTCTTGACGCACTTGGCGGCGGCGAAGGCGAGGTGGATGCGCAGCGCCAGGCACAGCGGCGGCGCCACCGTGTCGCCGCGGTGGAGGACGTCGAAGAGGGTGCCGCGGGCGGGCATTTGCAGCACGAGGAGGGTCTCCCCGGGGACGATCGCCGCTGGAGGGCCGCCACCATCGCCGCCACCCGCCAGCGCCGCCGGGCGATCGAGGCTGTGGCTCAGCCCGATGAGCCTGGCGAAGCTCTTGCTGGTCTTGGCGTCGGCGTTGAGCGTGGCGTGGATGCGGAGCTCGTTGGCGATGGCGATCTGGGCGGGGTAGTGGCGGGCCGAGTGGTCGGCGATGCCGCGCTTGATGATCACGGGGGTGCCGTCATTGAGGATGGCCTTGTAGAGCGAGGCGAGGATGGATCTGCCGACGAGGCATTCGCTCGAGAATCCGCCCGTGCACGCCTCGGCGTCCTTGAATCGAAAGAGCGACAGCACTGGATCTTTTCCTCCGGCCGCCCTCTCCTGGAGGATCTTCTTCTTCTTCTTATACCTTTTGCGGCAGAGACCATATTCCATGGATCGATCCCAATGCCTCGCTCTCAGCTCATGACGAGGGAGAGGTATCCAAGAACCCTAGACACGGCGCGCCAGTGCCATTGCCACTCCCATCCGCCGCGCGCCACCAATTGCAACGCCAGGCCGATGTCCAGTACCCACATTCCACCAGCTCGATCGATTCGATCGCGCTTCGTACGTTTCGAAGGGACGAGAAGAGCCAAAGGTCGCCTGGAGCCCTAAATGCTGACGTGGATAAGAGCATCTTTTAGTATATTCTTCATTTAAAATTTATCCATCGCCCGTTGCTACACAAGGGTTCCGACGATGGCGGCAATGCCTGGGATGTGGAGGAGGTGCTCAGGCTCCGGGAGGGGGCGTCGTGCTCATACAGGTATACGTGCTTAGTCAGGGATCGGCAGGCGCTCGAGGAAGGACGGCGCGTGCACGATCAAATCCGGAAGAGGGGAGACGTTTCTGGGGAATCTGCTGGTGGAGATGTACGCCAAGTGTGGGAGATGGGAGGATGCGAGGCAGAGAACACAAGATTTCTTTCTCTTTCGGGACGGTGATCACCGCGGCAGCTCAAGAGAGGGATCACAAGTGGGCAGTGGCTGGTTTGTTTGGGAGATTGCTGTTGGGAAGGCCTGAGACCGGACAGGCAAATACTTCTCTCGTCGTGCGCGTCACTCGACGTCGGCCCATGCTTTGCCTTGTAGATAGCGGTCTAGAGCAGGAGCTGGGGAATACGATGGTGAGCAAATGCGAGGGGCTGGAGGAGCTTTTCGAGAGGCTTGAGAGCAAAGGATTGTTCGCGTGGACTGCGATCATTGGAGCCTGTGCTCAGAGAGGTCATTCATAGCAGGGAAGCGCTCGAGTTTTTCCATCGGCTGGACTGCGAGGGTGTAAAGCAGGACATTGTGAGCTTCATCACACTCCGAGCGTGCACCAACTTGGAAGAATTGTCCGAAGGGAGAGTCATCGCCGGCTCTCGGCCGGGGGCCTCGACTCGGATGTCATCATCGGCAACGCGCTGGTAAACATGTACAGCAGGTGTGGTTATCTGGAAGCCAGAGAAGCCAGGGACGTTTTCGACAGGAGTTTAAAGAGCAAGGCCTCGTGGAACACGCTGATCCCCGCTTACTTACAGGAAGAACGCTCCAGGGATGCGATCCAGCTCTTTCTCTTAGATGGTACCAAGCCAAACGACGTGACATTCGTTGGCATAACTGGAGTTTGCAGCAAGGACCGCTATGCAAAGCAGGTCCACGAATGCGTGATTGCTTTCTGCCAGTGGTATCCTCCACTCGTCCGGTGTTCTGAGGAACAATCTCGTCAACGTCTACGGAAAGCTTGGCGACGTCGCCCACGCACGCAGAGTGTTCAAGGAGATGGAGACGAGAGATGTGTGCTCGTGCACGACGATGATCGCAGCGTACGCGCAGAACGGACACGAGAGGCAAGCGTTGCAACTCTACCACAAGATGGACCTCAAAGGATTGAAGCTGGAAGCTTGCAGCCGGATCGATGCAGTAAGAACGGGGAAACAGATTCACGAAAGGATGGTTTCCAGTAACTCCGACTCCTATGTCTACGTCTCCACTGCGCTCGTCAACTGTATGGCAAGTGTGGAGACTTGGAGAACGCACGGGCGGTGTTTGACAACATCGAGAACCGTGGTGACATAACGGCGTGTGGTCAGCACGGGCACAGCGAGGAAGCCATCAGACTGTACCAGAGAATGGAGCCAGACGGAGTTGAGCCCGACGAGATCACCTACGTTACTATCGTCGGTGCTTGTGGTGACATGCAGTCTGTAGCGGAAGGAAGGTCCGTCCACGACGGGATAGTGAGAGCCGGCCTGGAAAACGGAGCTCTCGTTTCCTCAGCACTCGTCAGCATGTATTGCAAGTGCGGAGCCTGGACGAAGCATGGAAGATCTTCGACGGTTCCGACTTGACCTGGTCTCGTGGAACGCAATGATCGTAAACGGGGAGGGGAAGCAGGGGTTGGAGCTGTACGAGCGCATGAACTTGGACGGTGTGGAGCCGAACGGTGTGACTTACGCCGGATTGCTATTCGCGTGTGCACACACGCAGGGCTACTGGACGGGGCCTGCAAGCAGTTCGTGTTGCTCAAGACGGACAGGGGGATCGAGTGGGATACTTCAGCTGCATGACGGATATGCTGGGCCGGCTGGGAAGGCTGGAGGAGGCCGAGGAGTTTCTCAAGAGGTTTCCACAGGCGGGTGGAGTTCCATGGCTGTCACTGCTCAACTCGTGCCAGGAAGCAGCCCCTGAAGAGGAACCCGGAGACATCGTCGTCGTACGTGATGCTCTCCAACATCTATGCGGCACCAGAGGTTGCAAAGATGAAAAGCAGGCTCGGGTTTTGGTATTCCAGGCACTCCAAGTCGCAGGATATCACATAAAGGTACTTAAACTTGAAGGTTTTCCTATTTTTCTAAAAAAAACCTTTTCGGCACATTCCAGGATTTACGACCCTTTTCCCCGGAGTATAAAAAGGATTGCGAGGTCATCAAAGGCCTCAAAGCATACTTATGGCGAATCACAAGGATGGGTATGTTCCAGTGGAGCAAGTCTTGAACGAGCTGCGACGATCGGCAGAGAGGCTACCCATCCGCACCAGGGATTTGATGGATCTCATGGATGTGGTGTCCAAGTTGCTCTACGAGTCGCTTCCAGGAGATTCTGGCAAGGAAACGAGAACAGGGGAGGAGATCCAGGGTATGTCAAGTTTTTCTCTTGTGGAGGAACTTCCGGAGAAGAGACCGGATGTGGGCAATGCTAAAAGTTTCAAGAGAAAGCTTTGCTTGGATGAGGAGGATCACAAGCTTCTGGATGAGATATCGAAGAGACATCGGCTGCTAGATAAGACATCGAAACGAGCTCCTCCCAATTACAATCTCAGGAAGAAGCAGCCTAACACCACCCTTTGCTCCATGTGCCAGTGCCACTGAGTGAGAACATCCACAGGACAATCAATGGCGATAATCACGGCAATGGTTATCTAGCGTACCAAGATCAGCTAAATTTTATAAATTTCTAGGGTAGTGAAATATGAATGAATGCAATCCATAAGAATCTAAACAATGTAGACAATTATTTTAATTCTATTGTGGTCATACTTGCAACTGACGATAAATCACGCTTGGAACTCAAACTTGCCTTTCTTCAAGCTGAGCTTACATTTGTAACATGGCCTGTTTCTTACAAATCCTCTTTACCATGGCTGCATTTTTACCGCCTCTAGTAAACGTGCCCTCGTCACACCTCCCACTGAGGCCTCGGCCCAGCTGCTTGACCACCTCTTGACTTTACTTCTTGCTGGCTAGAGCCACGCCCACATCTTTTGAGCCCTCACGTAGCATGGCCTCGATTATACTCAGTGGGAAAGCGCACCACCTTTTGTTCCTGAGCATCACCTTGGGTATGGCCTGACGATTCTCCCTGTTTGCCAAGCTGGCTATGGCAGCGTCGCTCAGAAGCCCAGATTCCTTGAGCAGATACATGGCATAGACATCAGGGCGACCCTGGCCGCCACCTCTTCGATAGGGTCGAGGAGCACGCCCGCGAGCTTGGCGCGCTTCAACAGCGAGAGGGCATCTTTCAGCTCCGGGGTTAATTCGAAGAGCTTCTGGTATGGTATGGGGTGCAGATCTGGCACTTTGGCCTCGTAGCTGTAAACATGGTCATGCTGGAAGTGCCGAAGTAGTGTAATTTCGTACACCGGTAGCGAGGAGAGAGGATGTTGCCAGTGGTGTAATGGACACTTTCGTCTCCAAACCAGCCTCACCTACTGGTCTCAACGCAACAACTCACCCAAAAGTTGACGGGTCCTGGCTTTGTAGCCGCCTTATGCTTTTCTACTTGATAAAGAGCACTAGCGAGACTTGAAGGATAATTCCAGCTGCTTTCTGGGATAAGTTTGTAGCGGGCGCTGACTTAGAGTTTGTGGTCTTTAACCCAGCAATTTGCTCATAGACCTCCAGTCGACCTCCATCACGGGCTTTTGCGTGAGCAATGCCAACAGCTTTTCACGCAGGAGCTTGGCAATGGCATCTCCATAACAAGTCACAGAAAGCATCCAGTTAGAGCCAGCACTAAAGGCTAAGTTAGAGTTGCAGAAGTCTTTCAAAGCCTGTGAATTAACTATTTCTCTCTTAGTAGATAGGCAGAAATGGATCACAACTAATGCGATACCAGGATTGCAAAGATGAAAGATAGGCTCAGGTTTTAGGCACTCCAGGTAGCAGGATTGAGCTAAGCTTGAGTATATAGACAACTTTGCTGTATGGCTTTCTTCGTCACAGTATCCCAAGTCAAGAAGAGGTTTTCTTATTGCCTTTTTCTAAAGGGTATTCCATGATTTACGAGCCAAGGTTAGGATGCACTAAATATAAATGAGTTTTGTTCCACGTCCTTCGTTTGGAACAGCTTCCTTTGTGTAAACCGCTACTTTCATGATAATTCCTTGTCTGAATCGCTATTTTCATGATGAGAGCTTAGAGATTGGCACAAACGAATGAGTATGCTGCCGAGTTTTTAGCATTGGATCTAAGTGCCGATCTTGCAGCTTGTTTGGCGTTGTATTTGTCTCCATGGATTGTACATCCACTCAAGAGGCTCGTCCAGAGAACATCGTTACATTCCTTGGAGCAATCTCTCAAGCGTTTACTTGATAGGTCCAGATAATCTTTGATCACGTCAGTGATAAATCCTTCTCTTGCAAGCGTGTCGAAAACACACGCAAGGTGGAAAAGGTTTGGCTCTATCCCGTGATCCGGAGTCATGGATCGATAGAAACTCAAGGCCTCGCTCGGCAGTCCATGGTGGCAACACGAGAAGAGCAGTGCAACGAAAGTTACGTGGTTTGGATCGATTCCATCCAAGACCATGGCCGAGTAGAGCTCCAAAACGTCGTGATGGTGATGATGCTGGGCGCTAACGACCAGTATGGAAGTCCAGGTAATCTCGTTCTTCACGATCGAACTCTCAAAGATCCCTACAGCATCGTTCAAGCTTCCGCAGCTGCCATACATTGTCACAAGCGCAGTTCCAACCATTGTGTCGGACACAAGCTTACTTTCTGCAACATGCCGGTGAATCGTTCTACCTTCTTCTATACAAGTGCAAGCTCGAAGAACGCACACGAAAGTGACGAGGTTTGGACGATAAGCCTCCAAGTTCATCAACCGGTACATTTGGAACGCAAGTGTACCATGGCCGTTTCGGGCATACGCTGCAATCAGTGCATTCCAAGAGACTCGATCTTTTTCTAGATTACCATCAAACACCCGCCTTGCAGAGACAACATCTTCTAGCCTTCCGTACATTGTGATCAATGCATTTGAAACACGAACAGTTAAGAGATCATCCATAGAGATTCGCTGGTGCAGTGATCGTAAAGCTAAAACATCCGAGCAAGTCCCAGTTAACGTGGTGAACGTAACCTCATCTGGTTTTACACCTTCAAGCTCCATCGTGTGGAGCAAAACTTTACAACTCTTTATATGCCCCCTTTGGGCATACGCAGAAAGTATTACATTCCAAGTTACCACCGTCTTCACGCTCATCCAGTCAAACAAATTTTTACAATCCTCTAAAAAACCAAGTTTTCCATACATGTTCATGAGAGAAGTCGCAAGAACAACATTGGAAGCCACAAAAAAGTCACACGATAGCATCAGCTTGTGCAAAGCCTTCCCGTGGTATATCACTTTCGCTTCTGGATCGCCCGAGAGGGCATCCAAGAGAAGAACAAAAGTGATAGAATCCGGTCTCGCGCCTTCAAGCTGCATCCCTCGAAAGACATCCAGCCCCTCTCGAACGCCCCCTGAGCGGCAAAAAGCATCGATCATGGCGTTCCGCGAGAACGAGTTCTTGTGTTCCATATGTTGGAACACAATAAAGGCATCACGGACAGCCCCGCATTTGCCATACATGTTGATGAGCGCAGTGCCTACCACAACATCTCGAAAGAAACGGCCTGTCAAGAAACTGGAATGGATCCAAGAGCCTGTTCTACAATCGCCCACCTGGGCACAGGAACCAAGCAAGGCAGTGAAAACGAAAGAATCCCTGGGCTTCAATCCTTCTAAGAGCATCCAATGGAAGAGCTCCACCGCCTCGGTGTGAAGTAGACCACCGTGAAGATCATCCGTGTATGCCGAGATTATCATCGTCCACGAGAACAAATTCTTGGAGGGCATCTTGTCAAACACTTCCCGGGCATCACTCAGGCTCCCACACTTGCAATACATGTCTATGAGATGGTTGTTTAGATACCTGTCTGATGCGAGCAGCGTGTTCGTGGCCAAAGCGGCGTGGAGTTTCTTCCCAGATTCTAGGAGCCGATTGTCTCGGCAGAGCCTCACCTCCTGAACATACTTCTCCACAGTATTCAACCAAGTATGGTTCATGGGCAATGAGAAAACAAAATCTTAAGTGGTGCTTGTTAAAGATTTTGGCTTAAAGCATTTCACTGTATGTTATCATTGGACGTACACTCTCATCTGGAGCAAACCCCTCCCACATCATGATATGAATCGATCATCGCGCTCCCAGACCTTGGGTTCCTATATGGCATCCTTCAAAAAATCATCCTGGCCTTCCGCAAATATCCATTCCTGGCATTTTTCGTAATTGGTTTGGCCAGAAGGACTTCTGGGCTGAAGGAATCCTTACATGTCTGGGACCAATACACTCTTGAGTTGCCATTGTTATTGTCAGATGTGATGCTCGTTGGCCCGGATGCATGCACGCACAAGGCAATCCTGGTATATTTTTTTCTCTCCAGTAACATCCATTGTAGCAAGGAAAAATTAGAGCTTAACAACCCCATTTCCACTCTTTGGCCCAGTCGCCCACGAAGTTTAGCTCTCTAGCAGGTTCGCATGTAATAGTCTAGGATGGAAGGAACGGTTTCCACTGGCTATAATTTCCGACCCAAGCCCCAAACACTGGAAAATAATTTTCTTGGCCCATAGATCAAAGCCGATAATCTAGTGCCAGCAAAGGTGAAGTCACTAGTAGCATGAATACTTCATAACAAAAGCAATGGACGAAAAATGAGAAGAACAAAAGCAGGCTTGAAGACAACTCACCGGCTTGGTAGTACGTCTTGAGGCTGAGGGTGTTCCTCAGTCTTGGGAGCTGACTTTAATTATATTCAACGCAGCCATGGAAGAAGAGGGAGGGATCATCAGGTTGTTGGTGTAGTGTTGCAAGGGAACGCACACTCCAGATCACATAGAAATCAATCTTTGACTGGAATGCAAGAGAAAGTCTGCCCTAAAAATCTTTGAAGCAAACTTTTTGATTAAAAGAAAAGTTTAAGAGGATAAAATCACAGCCATTGGATTTAGAAATATTTCTAAAATATATTAGGAATATCCATTACACCTTACAGTATAAAATTTTATTTATGAAAAGTTGGGATGTTAATTACAACCTTTAAAAAATATTAACTACCCACATAAATAACTACTTTGTAATATCCACCAAATAGTATTAGGATAATGTGCTAAAAAAATTACTATATTACAATTATCTTGAATAGTTAAGTATGAAGAAATTATGCATTTAGGTGAATTAGAACAGTATTTGTTAGCTGCCCATAATACTTTTTTATTGTTATACAAAACAAGATTACCATCATTTTGAAGTTTTAATACACAAATATTAATATAATCATTAGAGATTTTTGTTTCCCATATTTTTTTATTTTGTAAGAAAAGAACAACTTGACAATTTGATGTCACCATCAATATAACTTTACCATTTGGAGAAATCAAATATTCATTTTGATATAGTTTTTGTGGATTATATAATGTATGTTGCACAAGAAAACATATAGAAATGGAAGTTTCACTATAATTATTTTTTAAGTTATTAGAAAATAACCACTCTTGAACTAATTTATATTGTAAAAAGTATCCTGGATTTTCACTTTCGAAATAATCAGGACAACTAACTTGTAACTCATTAATATTAGCATAAAAGAGTCTTTGGAATCCAGCTATCAAAGTACTACCTCTAAGAGTTTCTTGATTTGAGCATTCATACTTTGCTTTAAATCTTAAATCTATAATTCCTACTGAAGTATTAATTAATTCACCATCTGCATAATTTGCAGGATATGGATCTCTATCATCTAATTTGGATATTAATTTTCTAAAAACTGTAGCTATTTTTGCTATATCTTGGGGATTTAAATATCCAAGTCTTCCAAACTTTGGTCTATAAACTGGTGCTATAATACATGTAGGAAAAAAACATAGTATAATATAAATAAATTTTATTACTGCTACCATCGTGAAAATTGATTTTATTTGTACTTCCTTTAAAAGAGAAGGTGATATTTTAATATTTATAGTTTGTTTTACATATATATATTAAATGACAAGTAAGAATTAAAGAAGGTTTATTTTGACTCTAGCTATGTTGACCAGAGAGAGAGAGAGAGAGAGTTAGTAAGCTAGTGAAGAACAAATTAAGAAAATTATGAAGACGGTATTAGTTCATTTGAAGATCTTTCTTATGAATATTTGCAAATTTGGTTCTAAGTGTAGGAAGTATGACTATTACAACTGAATTGAAAAGCAGCCAATAAAGATCTGCATAGCATGTTATAGGTTTACCAGTCATGGTTGAATATAGACTATAGTGGAGCACACATTGTTTAGTCTATGATAGTTGTGGCATTCTCCAATGAAAAACGTGAAGCCCATCAAGCAAATATGCTTGTATTGATGCTGTAGAAAAGCTCCATTTCAAGAGCTTCATGGTGGCTCTACAATCCTCTTTTTGTGAGCACTTACCAAGGGCCTCTGGAAGCAAATCATGGGCCTATGCACAAAAGCTAGCATTAAACACTGAGGTGATCACCACATCGATCATCACAAGCCAAAAACAAAATGTGGCACACCCTACCACTAAGCAGACACTATAGTAAACTCGGCTGGAAAACATCGTGTCTGGTGGCAACTCGTCATCGCGGGTGGTTTGAATTTTATTGTGATCGATGGCATGCAGTAGCATCCAGGACAATGCTAGGCCAAGTAATTTTATATATATATATATATATATATTTAAGGCGGTAGTGTAAGGCCAAAGCAACACGTGGAGGGCCGGGTAGCAGGTGATGTACTAATTTTGCCATAATTTTTTTTCAGAATAAATGGCTTAATTTTTTAAAATAAACGATTAAAAATAAACTTAAAAAAAAGCTAACAGCTCATCAATTTTCGTCATATATATGGCTTCATGGTTCCTAGCAAACAAAGAAACAAGTTTGGGTAAGGCATTCTTCCAAAAATTCTCCTCACTTCGTCCGCTTGCAAAGCCATCAAACATAGCTCAACACTCGCGTATGCCCATTCATGGCATAAGCAGCCGCCATGGCCGTCAAAGACAAGCATCTGGAACCCGATCACACAGCGTCTTTTCGTTCTCGACTCTAGCAAGTCGATCATACCTGTTAGTATGTTCTCAAAAATCCTGTAAGCTTCAAGGATATGCCCGGACTGGCACGTCCAGTCCAAGTAGTATGGCCAAACCGAGCAAGGCACCTACGGTGGCACTTTCTCGAGCAAAGCCTCAGCCTGCGTGAGAATACCCCACTGCGGGCATAGCTCGTCAAGATTATCCTCGAGCGAGGACATGGCGTCGAACTCGATGTGCGCTTGTTCCAAACAGCCATTCTGTGCATACACCGTGACCATGTTGTTCCACGAGAAGACGTTTGAAAGCTGCTGGACGCTATCAAACACCGCAGCGGCTTCCTTCGCAGCTCCAAACATCTCAACCAAGAAGCGTCCCCTCAGATTGCCGCATGGAGCTGCTGAATCTCCGCCACACTCTTGCAAGAACGGCGTAGGCTGCAAACTTGCTTCTTCAGTCTTCTAGCTCCGCGCTGCTTATTCACTTCGATACCACCCTGTGCTGCTAGCTCCCGGTCCGATCGATGAGAAACTTAGTGCCTGTCAGTCAACCCTCCAAAGATCTACTTCTTCTTCTTGGCGGGCTGCTTGGCACCACCCTTTCCTTTCTTCCCAGCAGCGGCCTTCTTCCCAGCTCCAGCACCGGCGACCATGCGCACGCCTTTCCTTCCTTTCACTTGCTTTGGTTTGGCTCGCTTCGTCTGCCCCAGATATGGGAGTCCCATGAGCATCAGCAGCCGCTTTGCCTCTAGCCTCGACTCGGCTCCAGTCACCAGAGCTATCTTAAGCCCCCTGTTCTGATGAATGTGCTCAAATCTATTCGCCGAGAGCGAGCTGAAGTCCTTGGTTCCGAGATCATACCGGTCTTTGTGGAAAGCGTAGAAGGCGCTCTTTTGCGGACCCCGGGTCTTTGGAACAACGAGCTCCAAAAGCCTGTCCATGAAAGGATACATCAACTGCATCAACAAAACCGAGACCTCGTGAGAGAAAGAACTACTAAACGATGCTCGCATACCTCTCCTCTCAACGTTACTTTGCAGCCAACCGGATCTCCAACCCTGTAGGCCGATCCCGAGACGGGCTTTGACGCTTTCGTGATCGTGGGGCGCTGCCCGGTTAGAATGTACATGTCCCTCACGGTGGTCTCCAGCACCACCGCATCAGTCCGATCGAGCCGGAAGTTACAGTAGACAACGATCTTCTCGATGATAGGAACCTACATTCCCGGGAATTCACGCGAGAAAACCATGGGAAAATCTTGCAATGAAAGAAAGAAAAGAGAAACAAACCTTGCCGATAGAAGAGTATCCAAACTCATCCACAAGCGCCGGCACCACTCTCTCGCGATAGAGCTGCTTGGACTTGAAAATCCTCTGGCCTGGAGCATCGACGCCGGCGCCCGCGATGAGGCCGCGATCCTTGGCATCCGCCGCCGCCACCGAGGCCATATGGCTGGCGGCCTCAGCGTCCACCCTGAATGTCACCGATCCCGAGTGCCGGACGAGGAGCAATCTCGCCGCCATTGCGGCGCCAGCGGCAGCGGCCTGGCGGCGGCATCCCCACAGCACAGCGGCCGCCATGGACGATCGATCGATATCGATCAAAACCCTTCCTCCCACATTCTAGGGTTTAAGCAAGAGCTAGGCAATGTGTTGCGATCGATCGGCAGTGGGAATTCTTGTTCTTGTCTCTTCCGAAATATCGATGCTTGAGGCACTTTTCATGCGATCGTCCAGATGACGAGGAGCATTCCATCAAGAAGATCATCGGCGGCACTAGGGAGGAGCCATCGCTCGAGCGTAGAAATCTTTTTCTCCGCTCAAACCCTAAGACTCCATTCTCCTCCTTGTCGTCCGCCGGTTAGATCCTTAACGTTTTCTTGTTTCTTTGGATGATCATCGGTCGATTGCGCAGGCATTGCAAGATCTCCAAAGCTATAACGACAAGGTACGAGTCTACTGGATGTTCATCATCATACCTTGGAAATTTTCAGGTCCTCGTGCAAGTGGATTCGGGAATAGGAGCAAACAGAAGGCTTCGATTCCATCGGGCTCAATCTTCTCTTGACAAGGTAGATCCATAGATCCAAATTTACTCCTTTTCAAGCTAGCCCGATCTCTGCTACTCTATCCAATGCCGAGATCCCGCAAGACTCTCATCTGGTGACTGAGCTCCACGAGCACACTAAACAGCCAAGAACACTGTGCAAGCGCTAGTGGATTCTCCATTCAGCGGTTTTGTAATGGGAGCCTGGGAGGGTTATGGCATGGTGACAACGATTCCGTGCGTGGGGTCACACCTTTGAACGCTTGCGTGCTTTTTTCTCATAGCGTGAATGATGCTGTGGAGAGAATGTTTTGGAATTTTGGCACTGCGTGAAAACGAGGCGTTCCAAGCGACGAGATCCCGGGCGGGCATAAAACTTAGTGTTCGTTGAGCAGAGTTGATATGCCGCGTGGGAGAAATGGAGACGAGTGCTTGGATGATGCCGCATGAGATCAATGCAAAGTATGGAATCCACTCTATAGCATTGCGCTGCTTCACTCTCACCCCATTTCCCCTTGAAAATAGCGACTTCCAAAGAAAAAAAAAGCGATTCATGTCTAGCTTCCTGATTTCCTATACTCTCTATGCTCTGATTCTAGTGTGTCGACACCGATAGCAAGCGATCGGACACGCAACATTTTTGTTGGATGGTGCGAGGTGACATGTTGTGCGGCACTTCGCAAGTAGAAAGATGGCGAGGACAAAATACAAGGTAATGGCTTGGAGTTTGCTGCCCCCAATGGTATTCATTTTTCGCCAAGATCGATCTCCTGACTGGCTACTACTGCTCTTCCTGGTGAGTATTTACCTGTAAGCTTTTGTTTTCACAAATTTATTTGCATAAACAACAATATCTACTCTAACAACGTCGGCAATAAGAAAAGGTTTGGAGGAAAACGGTGATATTTCCAGAATCGCTTGTTGGTTTTGTTGTTTTTCCCAAGTTGTGAGTTTCCGGAATTGATGTCAAGAAATGCTAGACCTTTTGCCATTCTTCTGCCAGAGACCTATGATCAAAAGTTGCAAGCTTTAAGAGCTAGCGAAGAAGAGATTTTACTATCTCCCTGTTCAAGCTCTTGCCAGAGTCCTATGGTGCTCCTCATATCCCCATTCTCCGGCCTAGTGGTAAGTTCTTCTTCCAATGCTAATGCCAAAGATGAGATTTTTCTTGCTTAGATCTTCATGAGATTGTAAAACTGTGTTGTTGCTACTCATTTATTTGTTTTTGGCTTATTGGAACTAGACACCATTTTTCCTTCTGAGCTGGATGCTGGCATCCTTGTAATGCTCCTCGCTGATCCCAGTCCTTGCTGATCCTGGAAGTTGATCATGTAAACCCAGCCATGCGGCTTGTTGTATCTCTGTGCCATGGCACGCATACCATCATCATTTTCCATTGCAGGCATAAATGCTAACTTTTCAAAGTATAGTGGAGCTTGGATCTCGAGCTCATTGAGCAGTGCAAGCCCATCCTTTTGATACTTTGATTTGGGCGAGGATTTGCATGCTATTAATAGGCTCATATAATGTGGTAAGTTGGAATTTCATATGATGTGGCAAATGAATTGTTTTTGGTGTTGACAATTTCTATATTAGGCATAAAAAATGCATGCAGACATAATTTTGGTGTTCTGTTTGAAATGATTTAACAATAGTTCATAAAAGAAGATTGAACCCAGGACCTTTATATATTCTTTGATGATATTTTAATATTTTTTTTGTTTTTATTTTCATCCATAGCAAACATTGTATGGCTTAATCCATCTGTAGCCATACAAAGTACCAAACACGAATAAAGACAAAGCACACAATGAATTATACTACTATAAAATTAACCACGCGCTTCTAGCTTTGTTCAGATTCTTAGACATGATCGCTAGGCTCTTCCTCATTTTGTTTCTGTTTTCCAACCACAATCCTATTGGAGCGGATCCCGAGTTTCTAGCGAGACAACATCCATGGAGGTTTGAATCTGGAGATTTTCATGTGATCTCTATGGCAATTCTGAAGCGCATCCGGTTGCTCTCAAGGGAGAGATATTACACCTATGGAAGAAGTTTCACTTCCACATTCATGGCTACATCAGAGTTCAAGGTGAGTGTCAGGCTGTGGCTGTTTAGTGTGCAGAGGAACGATGGAATGTGCTATGTCACACCAGATCATTTACATGTAATAGACTCCCAGGCCCTAGTGAATGCGTTCTTGGGTCTCTACAATTCTGTGGCTTCAAAGGAGATTGAGAGCATGGGTTATGGCCGAATTCTCTGCGTGTGGAAGAATTTTGCCATTGACTATGTATCTTGGTATGGAAAGCCAGAGTATATGTCTCTTGGATTAACAGAGCAAGAAAATGAAGATGAGCCAGCGTTTGATCATTCTCGTGATTTTAACCGCACCCTCTTTGACATTACCACCGATCCCGACTGGGAGAACTGTTGGCCTTTTCGATCCAACATGATCGGAGGAGCTGAAGCTGCTTTGGGCTCATACATTGTCAGGGTTGGCACGCTGGTATCTCCCAATGGTAGATACAAGGTAATCATGCAGCAAGATTGTAACTTTGTTCTCTATGAAGCATATCTAGAAAACGTGAATGCGGTGGTGTGGGAAAGCGATACTTTTAGGAAGGCTAAGGGTTGCTACATCAACCTCCAAATGGATGGAAATCTAGTGCTTGTTGATTCTTCTGGAAAACAAGTTTTATTTGCCTCTAATAGATATTGCCCAAACCAGCCAAATTGTGTGGTTACTGCTGGCCTCTCCGTCACAGATAATGGCTACATTGTCATCTGGCAGACTGACACTCAAACTGAGTTATGGCGAGAACCCAAGTAGTGGTCAATCTAAAATATGTTGCACTCACTCAGAATATCCAGAAAAATTCTTGGGCATGATCTTGTCAAAACTTCTAAAGATGTGATTCGAGGAAGAGCCATATACCACAATACAACACACTCATGAGGCTTTGCAATTTTGAGGTCTAAACACAAAGGATTAAGAGAACGTGCTCTAACTTTCCCTACTCTACCATCTTATGATTATAGTGGAACCTTAAAGGATAGGATTTAGCTGTTGGCATAGAAGATGAACATAAGGGCATAGGCAGAGAAGCATGGGGTCACACAAGACCCAAATAAGTCGAATGCAATTGCATTACATCTTGGGTGATGACAGGTTGATACAATTGTGTTGTTTAACCTAGTAAACAGTTGAATTGAAAAATTTTCCATGCCATAAAAACATATATTAAATATATTTGAAGTTGTGAGGGCCAAGTGTACAGCTACGATGCCGTATACTAATATTAGCATAGTGGGATTTTGGTAGCCGTCGGATTGGTTTCAATCCGGACCACTCACTCTTGTATATAAACTAGGGTTTTTGGGCTAATTGATATGCACATTTCTGTATTCCCTTTCCATATTCCATGCACTCACATTGGTAGAGGTGAGGGGCACTTTTGATTGTCCTTGGGAGTGCTTGGATTTGGGATTTCGGTTTAGATCTAACTTTTGCATTGTCTAGATCTAGCTTTTTCCATTTTCTTTCTTTTGTTCTTTCCTTTCAGGATTTTGGTTTAGATCTAGCTTTTTGCATTGTGTAGATCTACCATTTCTTTCCAGCTTTTTGTCATTTCTCTTCTTTTGCTCTTTTTTTTTCATTCATTTTCATGGGCGATCCACAATCTCCTCCTTTGACTCTAGAGCAGCAGTTGGTTCAATTGCTTGATGCTATGCGCTTGCAATTGAACAACCAAACTCAATTGATGGCGGCGTTCACGGCACATGGTACAACTCCTCCTGCTCTTGGTGCCAATCCTCGCGTTCGGCCGGAGTTCTTTCGTGGGAATCCTGGGGATGATGTATACCATTGGTTTGATCACTTCACGGTGATTGCCACATATCATTCTTGGGATGATGCTCGACGTTTGCGTGAGTTCCCCACATGTCTCCAAGGGACGGCATTGCAGTGGTACAATGGATTGAGCGCAGCCACTCGTGGCGATTGGAGTGTTCTTCCGGACGTCTTCAAACGTGCCTTCGGACACGCTGACGATTGTGATGATGCCTTCCAATAATTGCATCGTCTTCGCCAAGGGCCATCTGAGTCAGTGATGCAATTTGGCGATTTGCAATTTCCGAAGTCTTTTGCTTCGTGCGGAGCCAAATATATCGGAGTGGATCAAACTAGGAATGTTGTGGCCAGCACTTCGTCAAGATCTTGTCGGACTTGTGCATGCACTTGCTCCTGCCACTCTTGACGATGCTCTTCGCTTGGCACAACGTTATGAGACGTCGCCTCTTCCACTTCTTGCTACACGTCCTTCAGCTCCACTTCCTATGAGTGATGGTCCTGTTCCCATGGAGGTTGATGCTGCTGCTACTCGAGTCCAAGGACAAGGGCGAAGACGTGGTCGTGGCCGTGATGTTCGTTGCTGGGCATGTGATGAAGTTGGTCATACTTATCGGCATTGTTGGCGCTTTCCGGATTGGCGACCTCCATTTCCTGGGTGGAGACCTTGGCGTCAGCAACGTCCCGTTGGTGTTGCTGCGGTGGAAGGTTTGGATACCGAGGTGCATTT